AGCTTGTGTCCCTGACTGTGGCCTGTTGCTGTGCTGCACGAGATTGTGTGTTTCCAAGTGAGAGAGAGTTCTCCGTTCTCCTGGGATTATGTTATCTCGGACTTGGGGAGGACCAGGTGCTTTTCCAAAATTACTTACCAACTTCCCAAGCTTCCTTGGGCTTCTTATGGGTCAATCCAGTAGCCAACTGATCCCTTTCCCAGGTTAGACTGACAGGCTCTATGGCCAAGCTCCTCCCCATGCGCCTTTTTGACTTCATTTGCTCATGTGCTTACCTCCCCTGCTCCCCCAGACAAGCCGGTAGGGAGGGGTGTTAATCCTTGGTGGGGCGATGCTGTCATCCCCTGGGGAGTGTGTGAAGCTGTAACTTCCTAGTGAAACAAGCTGGTTCTGTGTCTGATTCAGCTCCCCAGCCCATTAGGCTCAACAATGTCTGATCCCCTTTGCTCCCTTTCTTATCAATTATCTACACTAACATCTGCAGATGTGGCTCCCAGCCAGGCGCAGCTCCCACTGCGTGCAGAAAGACTGTGTCGTGCACACACCTCGGAGAGAGCATGTTCTGAGCATGCTCAGCAAGCTGAGCTGTGATGCCTTTGAAGTAGTGTCTTATTTGTTTAAAACACTGGACCAGTCTCTCACCAAAAACATTTTCAAATATTGTTGGCCTACATTTGACAAAAGAAGTCATACTGAATTCCAGAAACCTTGCTTTGAATGGTTTAAGAAGTTTCTACTGAATGTGGAAGTAGCTTTCCTTAAGCTGGTGGTTCAGTGTTCCTTTCTCCTGGTGGTCCTAAGTTTATTCATCTAATACTCATTTCGTAAGATCTGTTGCAATAAAATAGAGAAGATTTTGCTTCCCAAAAGTATCAGGAAGATGCACAATTATCAGATAAAGAAGTATGAAATCTGCCCAGCTGGCATGGCTCAGCAGATGAGCATTGATCTGTGATCCAGGAGGTCACGGTTCGATTCCCAGTCAGGGCACATGCCTGGGCTGTGGGCTCGATCCCCAGTGGGGGGTGTGCAGGAGGCAGCCGATCAATGACTCTCTCATCATTGATGTTTCTGTCTCTCTCTCTCCCCCTTACTCTCTCTGAAATAAAAAAAAACACAATTTTTTTAAAAGTAGAAGTGTGAAATTTGAGATCAGAATGTATAGAAAGGGATCCAAGATGGCTGTAAAGTAGGTGGAAGCTGCACACACACCTTCTCGGGGCACCAAACCCGATTTAGAGCTAAAATGTAGAGCAGTTAACCTGAATAAACAACTGAAGGACAGCTGAACAGGAGTCTTATGTCCAAGGATTTATAGAAGAAGCTACACAGAGACTGGTAAGAAGGGTGGAGATGTGGAAAGGGCTGGGTCCCCATACCCAGGTGTAGCAGCTGAGAAGCCAAAGGGGTATCTCAGCTGCAAAAGTCCCCCCTGAGGAGACTAGGGTTTCAACCCCACCCCAGGACCCCCAAACCAGAGCACCAGAGCCAGGAAGAGGAGCCTCCATAGCATCTGGCAGTGAAAATCAATGGGGAGTCTGTCCACTGTTAGAGGGGAGAGAGAAGGGATGGACTGGATGAAAGAAGGTGAAGACATTAGCCAAAGAACATATATGCACAGCTTATGGACACAGACAACAGTGTGGTGATGGCCGCCGGGAAGGGGGGCCAGGGGCTGGGTGGAGGCGGGCAAAGGGCGGAGGGAGAATGGGGACACCTATAATAGTGTCAACAATAAAAATAAGGTTTTTTAAAAAAGAATGTAACAGCAAAACCAAATTTTAAAAAATGGAACCTTATGATAACCAAAGTGATATACAAGAGACAAATCAAAAGGTTCTGTCTTTGTGGGCTTCAGTCCTTAGTCTTATTAACCTCTAATATACTTTTTTTAATCCTCGCCTGAAGACATGTTTTACTGATTTTAGAGAGAAAGGGAGAGAGAAACATCTATAGGTCGCCTCCCATACACGCCCTGACCTGTGATTGAACCCACAACCTAGGCATGTGCCCTGACCAGAAATCGAATCCGCAACCTTCTGGTGCACGGGAAGACACTCCAACCAACCGAGCCACCCAACCAGGGCAACCTATAATATACTTTAGATCGAATTAATGTTATCAATGTTCCAAGGCTCTTGACAAAGTTGAAAAACAGACATGCATTTGTTTTCTTCATTCAGCCACCTAACAGCTGCCCGTTTTTCAGGTGACCTAGAACCCCGATGGCAAACTTCAAGGGCCACGCTCTCCCCGGGAGTTTCTTCTTGGTCATTGGCCTGTGGTGGTCAGTGAAGTACCCACTGAAGTATTTTCATCAGAAGGGAAAAAGGAGCCAACTGACTAATTGTTATGAGCGTCTCGAGATCATTGAGGCCGCGATCAGAACTTTACTTCCAGTCATTGGTAAGCACGGAGGTCAGAGGGCCCGGGGCCTCTCCCATCATACCCAGAACCTTGAGCCCACTTCCTGGACCCTGTGAAATGGATGTCTCCACTGGCAGAGATAACAGAACACGGGTTTTCAGTTGGCCGCTGAACATTTTATAACATCTGTTGTGTACTGAACTTTGTAAAATTAAGTTAATCGCACCTCAGATCTTAGTGCACTGTGAAACCCTACCAAATAAACTACATTCTCTGCCCTAGAAGGATGGGGGTATAGGTTGTAGGAACGCAAGACATACTTTATGAAAAACACAAAAGTAGACAAAACACAAAAGCAGAAACAAAGAACAAATTAAGAGAGCAAACTCATGTACATGAGTCATGAGAAAGTACTAAAGTTGACTTTTAGAAAAATCTTTTTCCCCCCCAATTGTCTACTAGAATCTCGAGAGTGAACACGCTACTCACTGGCATATCCTGCATCTCCAAATCTCGAGCAGTCATGGAGGGGAGTTATACTAGAGGCTAGAAGAGGCCCACAGAGGACTGTTTGAGAGGGACCTTCCTTTATTGTGCCCCATCCCAACAAAATCCACCCCCTTCCACTTGTCCTCTATCCCACGCCCCTGGTGGACCTCAAGGAATAAGTCGGACCAATGAGGGGCCTTATTCTGCGATTGCCTTTGCCACTTACTGGCTTTGGCCTCGTTTCCTGGGAGGAGCTGAAGCAGTAACAGTAATTACTGCTTCAGGAGTTAGTGAAGGTACAGTTTTGTTTGCCTGGTCCACCTGGATTTTCCCACTCACCAGCCATTGGGGCGTCAGAAAGCCTTTCGCATCATTCTGGAGCTGAGAACTGACAGGGACCACACTGCTTAAATGGTAAGAACAGCATCCACTTGGCCTAAATAAAGCTAGAAAAGTTGTATTTCTGGAGTTCCCACCATGTGCCAGGAATTCACTGTTGTAGACATTGGGGATACAATGGGGAACTATGCCTAGTCTCTACTCTCACAGGACTTCCTTTTCCTGGGTCATTTTCACCAACTCCTGGATCCTTTATACATAAATTGAGAAAGGGGCTGGGTTTGAGGAAGAAATGTTTGGGGAACGGTCTGGAATGTTGTTGTGGAGAACTTGTTGTAGGCCCCAAGAACACTGGGTACTAGGCATAAAGGCAGATCTTTTGCCTTTCAAAGGAGGTGATGGTAGAAGGGATGAGAGCCGAGAACACTGCAGCTGCTTCACCTCTGGCTCAGTCTCTAAAGCTTGCCTCAGACACACGGTGCGGCCAGAAACACTGAGACCTAACGCTGCAGGAAGGACCCGAGACCACAGAGCCCACTCTGTGCCTGGAGACACACCTGAGCGCTTCCTGCCTCGGGCGGGCACAAGTGTCATTGTGACCAGTGTCTGGCTGCTCAGATTCTATTATTTTCAACCTGTTTCCTTCCAGGATTTCTTTCACTGCTCACTTGGCAGAGGGAACCCAAAGATTAAGTTACCTCCACACTCTCCCTTAAGTGACAGGGCCTTATTTCCATCTCAGCTACAGGACAGATTTCCCCTGGACCCATGTGGCTGCGTTTCCACGGCTACTTCCCCTCCTGCCAGGTGCCCATCCAAGGAAAGGTGTCTACACAGGTTCCTTAGCAAATTCCTCACTTTAGACTGAAGTAGTGAAGTGGGTCCACTGAACCACAGCCACTTGCACCCACATCTTGACCGCGTTCGTGACTCCGTGGTTTGCTGTCTCCTGTTTGTCTTAGAACTACTCTTCCTTCCTCATTTCCCTGCAGGGATCCTGGCAGAGCAGTTTGTTCCAGATGGGCCCCACCTCCACCTGTACTCTGAAAACCAGTGGATAAAGTTAATGAACTGGCAGCACAGCACCATGTATCTATTCTTTGCGATCTCAGGAATCACTGATATGCTCACCTATCTCGTCAGTCACGTTCCCCTGGGGGTCGACAGACTGGTTATGGCTGTGGCAGCATTCAACGAAGGTAACTTAGTGGTAAGGATGGGAAAAAAGGAAGAAACTGTCAAGTTGTGATTTTGAGGGATCCGGGCACAGTAGCCCAGAACGGTCACAAGTATAACCACCTTCCCCAGAAAAACCCAAGCCTCTGGATGTCAGCAACCTACGCAGGCTTAGTCCTGTGCGCTGGATGCTATAGACGGCATATTCCACAAAGAGCACATGAAAGCACGAGGCTGTTAGCCACAGTCACTGGCTAACAGTGCACGAACTCCCCCTGCCCTCCCCCAGCCCATCCCCATGCGTGAGTGCGTGTGCACATCCACACAGAAACACGAGCACTGTCTGAAGACGGGGTAAGGGCCACCACACAAGATTGACTCCCTGGGGTTTGGGACGAGAAACTCTGCATTCACCCCACACCCTGGGTGTTATTGTCTGGACTCCATCACAAATAGGAGACCCACCCAGAGCTAGGGCAGATCTCCCATATAACTCAATGTTAAGTGGGGTCAGATAAAAGCATTTTGTTTTTTTTGTTTACTTGGGGTTTTTGTGTGTTTTGTTTTCTTTTTTAGCGAGGGGAGGGAGCAGGGGGAAAAAGAGAAACATTGATGTGAGAGAGACACATGAATTGGTTGCCTCCCACATGCACCTGAGATCAAGCCTGCAACTGAGGTACATGCCCTTGACCAGGAATCAAACCCAGGACCCTTTGGTCCGCGGGCTGACGCTCTAACCACTGAGCCAAACCAGCCAGGGCCAGAAAAAAGCATTTTATAATCCAACCACCTCACTCACTTCTGTACCTCAGGAAGAACTGGAAAAAGGTGAATGAAGGCAAAACTGAATTTCAAGTAAACACACAATTTGTTACAAGTCAGCAATATTTCACTTACCCGTCCTGTATTAAACCCTACCATAGCTTCTGTAAAGCAAGTTAAAGATACACCCTTTGCTGCGTAAACCCACTTTACACTCACACGTTTTACCTGTGTATTTGTTGTCTTATGATGTTATATAAGTCGATTTTCCAAGTACTGAAAAACCTGGCCAAGGACATTCTATAGCGAAAGTGCAGGATGAACGCTGACATAGAAACGGGCAACCTCTGACGGCTGTGCCTGGCTCTGGGCAGGTTTCCTCTTCTACCACCATGTGCATAACCGGCCACCGCTGGACCAGTTCATCCACTCGCTCCTGCTGTGCGCCGTGTTTGGAGGGGCGATCAGTATCTTCTTGGAGGTGATCCTTCGAGACAATATTGTGCTGGAGCTTTTCCGAACCACACTCGTTCTTCTCCAAGGCACCTGGTTCTGGCAGGTAATTACTCAGCACTCTTGACACTGCACAGACTGAGGGGCCCCACGGAGCATGTCCGAGTGGAGTCCTGGTGACACAGCACTCACACACCACGTGGGTGGGATTAGATGGCCACTTTTCTCACCACGCCCGCCCCTTGACCTATGTAGCTTTGTCCATGAATATCCTCCTGATGCCGTAAGCAGAACCTAGGGAGCACACACCCTGAGATGACGCATTTCCCTATCTGCCCAGCGCAGGTACTGATACCATCTCCAGGCTCCGCTTGCTAAATTGTTCACCTGAAATCCTGTTTGGAATAAGCCTATACTAAAACCAGAATTAACCCAGCAATTCTCCTGTACAAAAACATCTGTGCCAACGCGGGTATGGGAACGGAGGTGGTGGGGGACGTCTGGATGCCTTTGGTACCCACAGGAAGGGACTGACAGGCTGTCTTCTCTGTGTAACCCTCCAGATTGGGTTTGTGCTGTTCCCGCCCTTTGGAACACCCAAGTGGGACCAGGAGGACCATGCAAACCTCACATTCATCACCATGTGCTTCTGCTGGCACTACCTGGCCGCACTCTGCATCGTGGCCGTCAACTATGCTCTCGTTCACTGGTATGTCCGAGAGGACTTTTCTCAGTTTTCCTTCCTTACCAGGCCCCTGCCCTTGTGAAACTTATTACACGGCGTCATTTTTATTTCTAGTGACCCACCTTCTGTAACTAAGACCACTGAACAAATACCAACTAAATGCCAAGTTCTGTGCCAGGTACTCTACATCTACCAACGATGGCGCTGAGGCTCCAAGAGGGAAGGGGCCTGACTGGTCACAGTAGCCTGGATAGACCCAGGCTGCAAATGCAGTTCTGAGTTTAGGCCTGTGTTGTGATAGAAAACACGCCGCATAAGGCACCGTCCCTGGACTGCAGTGCTGCTGTCCCTGGTTAATTTTCAGCCCATCCCCTTGTTCCTGCATTTGTCCTGCCTGCTTCCCAGAGGCCTTGTGACAATCAGATAAGATACCAAGGCAGCAAGTGCTCACTAAAGTGCACTTCTGAGATAACAGCTAATAACTCCTATGCGAGTACTTTGTCCCAGGCACTGTGGGAAGCACTTAGTGCATTACCCAACTCAATCCTAATTACCCTGTGAGACGTAATGTTTTACAGATGGGAAAACCAAGGCCACCCAACGAGTAAATGGCAGAGCCTGTCTTTCACCAGTGTGAGAGTGACTTTTGGCACAGGGTATTATTGGTTGTCATAGCTGCCCCTCCTTTTTTGCTGGCTCCTAATTTCCCTACCCAAAGCAGACACGCTTCACCCAGAAAGAGTTCCAGCCAGGCCAAACAGAAGGCAACTCAAGGTCACAGTTTTTTGGTTCTACTGCCTGGTCAGTGAAATAATAAAAAGGGAGGGAGGAGACCTAAGTTTGATCTCAATTACAACACTTAAATATTAATCATGATCCCTTTATCTACCAATGAATGCTCAGAAGTTAAATATGTAATCATGGTATTTGAGAGAGAGATAAAATGCCTTAAGAACCACTAGATGCCTTCACATTCTGGAGTGAAGGAACAGTCTGGGGGCGGATTTAACTTGTTCCTGTGTCTCTATTACAGCCTTCTGATCCGGTTAAAGAGGCACAGAGGAGAAGAGATCATTGGGATTCAGAAGCTGACGTCAGACCCCACATATCAGAAGGCCCTCCTGAATGGCTCAGACGAGGAATGAAGAGAGGCCGTGGGTCATAAACGGGGTGGACATGTCCCTCTGAGCACGAACAGCTAGAGTTCTCCAGGTGTGGCCCATCTCAGCGCTTGCTTTGGTCTGCCCCTAAGGTCCTATGTATTTGCACCTTCTCATTTAACTGGCTAACGGCTTGTCGGTGTGGCATCCTTCAGAAAGGAAAAGGAAGCCAGCCTGTGTGTCTAAGTGAACAGAAATTAGAACAGGAAGTAGCCCCATCGATGAATTCAGGATATGAATCCAGCAAAACTCACCGCTTTTGATAGCGTAGCCCTTTCCCGCTCAAGAAAGCAGGTACTTTCTTATTGGAAAGTGAATGAGTCTGTATTTTAGAGGTGCAATTCTAGTGTTTTTAAAGGAGTAATTCACAAGCTTTGGTATTTTACTTGCTACTTGTTAAACGTTTATCTCCTAACTAATCACGATATTCAAAGTACAGCAATACCACTGTTGATAAGTGACAAAGTTGGGCCAACGGTGACTTTTATTTTTTAAGTCAGGAAGCTAGTTAGTGGCCCAGCTGAGAGCTGGAACTCAGATGTTCTGACTCCTTGAAAGTACCCTCGTAAGGGGATTCTGACAGGAAATCAGTGTAACCAGGTAGGGAGAAAAATGCCAGGCTATCGAAGGCCCTGACTTTAAATGTGGCTGAAAGCAAAGGAGAGGAATCCTGCAAAGGACCTGAAACTTGAACTAGTAATTACAAATCTTAATACTCTGGTCTTGGTTCTGGTTCTTTTTTCTTTTTTTTAACTTCCTTCAACAACTATTTATTAAACATCTATTTTGCACCAGCACTGGAATGGTTGTTCGGATTAACTGAGTATGTGCCCAGCAAGGAACGCAGTCTAATGGGAGATACACGCAGGCAGTTACAGACAGGGTGACTGGGGCCATAAGGTAAGTAAATCACCATGAGACACAGGAGGGCAAACGGAGTTTGCCCCATAGAAAAGGCACATCCCAGACGGAGAAAAAAAAACATAGAGTTAAATATGTTAAAGCCTACAAATTGATAAAAGTGGGTTAGGGCAAATTTGAAAGCTCTTATAGACCAAACAGTACCACTCATTTGTTTGGCATTTTTCAGACCCTGAAATCTCTCATTTCTCACAACCACCTGTAATGTAAGTACATTGGTTCTTCAGGAGCTGAGCGGTCTAAGGTGACTCAGCTACTAAGTCACAGAACCAGTCTTCAGCAGCTCTCAAGCAAGCCTATTTTTGCCTTCCTCTCTGCTACTTCACACAACGTGCAGAGACCATTCCTGTGAAGCACTGGACAGCTTGGGGAGGGATGCTGCACTAAGAGTGGGAGTCGTGGCTTAGAAGTTAAAAGTGAGCTACTTGAGAACACGGATTTAATATTCAGAAGAGAACCCGTGGGTATCCTTTCAGGATCCACTGGTTTGCCTGCTGAGTACAAACCCATTCATTCAGCAAGTACTAGAGGACCCATTATTGGCACTTAACGTAAAACACATTCTTTCCTTAGGGACTGGAGGTGGGAAGAAGGAACTTACTCTGTTCTGTGTTGATTTAAAAGGGGTGGGGCAAGATACTTTAGGGAAATGTAGTATTTCCTCCAGAGTGAGAATGTGAGGTGTGAAGATCAAACATAAAACATTAAAGTTTATTCTGATGCCCCTCCTACAGCATGGCTGGGGCACCATCACAGAGGTAACTACCCCTAGCATGAATACTCTTAGCTATGGTAATAAAGTACAAACCCCTCACAATGCAACTCACCAAATCCAGTCTCAGACATGTGGTCTAAATAATTTTACCAACCTGTGAACCAGAGGTTCAAAGACTCTATGGCCGCCGTAGGTTCTTCTGGAATGTTCCCCGAAACACCCCCTGGAGCCACTACCTCTTGTGGCCCCTGAGGTGTGCACCCAGGACCCATGTTTGGTATAGAGGCTGGTAACATCACCTAAACAACTCCAAAGGGAGTTTCCAGTGTGGTTCTCCACCGACAGGCTGTCCTGAAACACATCTGTTCTCCTCAGATGTCAATGTCTATAGCTACTAAGGAGACAGCAATCAGGTGACTTTGGTAAATAAAAGGGGTGAGGGTGGGGCTGAATGTCAGAACTGCATTTATGAAATAATTTTTTAATTCAAAAAAAGTTTATTTTAACCAGCAGTAAATATCTGAGACTGGGATTCCTCAAATTTCTACCTTTTTCTCATTTAGAACCTGTCACGTGAACTATTCATGAGAAACGTGACTCTAGGGAGCAATGACATGCAAATATTAAAGTAAAACAAAACAGGTACATTTGCCTTTACTCCGGTAAAAGACAATTTGTTTCCTCACTGTGGTCTCTACCTCTCACCATTACCAATCTTACTTCTGTGCCAGCTCTACTACCCCTCAAAGGCTCGATCCTACCTCGACCAATTCACCTTTGTGATCCAGGCTTACCACCCCCAACTCTGGATGGTCCCCAAGTCTCACGACCACACATCACAGCCATTCTCTTCTTAGGGAGGCAGCAGAAAGGACACATGACTTAGAAGACTGGATTTACATCTTGGTTCCCTTTAACTCCGACTCAAACTCGCATTTTCCCAGTTAAAACAGGGATGACCACTCTTTTATAGAACTGCTTTAGGAATCAAGTGAGACATCTGGGAAACCACTGTGTCACCAACATACCATCTAAAGGTATCCGCAACATGCCTGACCCCTCAGCTTCCCCCCAGCAAGCCCCTCTAAAGCAGGCCATTCCAATCCTTTGCCTCCGACTCTGCTTCCTCCCTGAGAGCCCATAAAGTATCGTCACTAGACTTCCTTTAACCAGCTGGATACTTTCAAGAGTTAGGGAAGCTGTTACTGCAGAAAAGCTTTACCACCAGCCCTGTTCCAACACGAGACAGGCATATATTCCTAACCACCAGTCCTTTAATACATTTCAAATTATCACCTAAGCCCTCTGCCTGTGGCTCGATAGAGACTGAGAAGTATGAAACAGCCAGGATCAATTGTAATCAATCCACACTGACCTTTTCTGTGGTCAGTGCTGTGTAGTAGGGAGACCCACTCTCTTCTTGCCATCTCTACTTTGGAATAAAAGCCAGCAAGTTTTAAGAACCACATAAAAAATATTTTAGACTTGAGGGCCAAATGGCATCTATTCAGCTGTCTCTGAACTGAAAACAGCTACAGATAAATACATAAACCGGCACAGGCTTTGTTCCAATAAAACTTTATTTACAAAAACAGGTGGCCAGCCCAAGGGCCGTGGTTTGCTGACTCTTGTTCTGCAGTGAGAATGTGCAATCTCTGAACTGAAACGGTTTGTGCAGCAGAAGCAGCATCTCTGCCGGCATTCACCTGCTATGCCCACCGGCTCGGCTTGTGTGTGAACAGGCTGGAGGACAGTCAGCAGGTGAAGAAACAGACCACAGCCAGGACCCCGACACCCCGCCTGTAAGAGGTAGTACCAAACCAATCCCGCTTCAGAGAACCCACGCAATCTCACTTCCTGTTTCTTTCCCGTCTCAGAGCCTCTCCATTACTATGCAGTTATCAAGTCAGCCACCAACTTATAAGAATCTTGCTATTCCCAAATTCTGGTCAAAAGAATGAATCAGTTCAGGGGCGTTAATGCCCAGGTTTCTATTTGACAAAGATGTACAATAGGCTCTTTATAAAAATAAGTTACATAAAAATTTCTGGACACAAAACTCCTATCCAGACCACTAGCCACGGAGAAGACCACAAACTAAAAAGTATGACTCACACAGAACAAGGCTGTCACCATCTGCACTCCGCAACTGTCAGCCCGCCCTCGGCATCCTGCTCTCAGGAGGGAACTCTGGCTTGTTTGACACAACTGTGACCTCTCACAACTTTGAGAGAAGCTTCTTCTGGATCATTGCAGAAGAGACCTGGCGTGAACCTTCCTCAGTGTTCACCCTGTGGGGTGTGGGGGCGGAATCGCAGCCGCAGCCACTGCTGCCACCATCCCACCACTACCCTTCCTTAGACAGATGAGCTTAGAGGGAGGACGAGACCTCCTGTTTCCTTCCTGTCGGCTGGAAGGCGGAGCAGGTATGGAATTTTTGAAAGCCATTTCTCTCCAAATCACTGCTGTTCAGGTGCCTGCTTAGGAGATGGAGCTGTGGTCACAACCACAGTGGAGACTGCTTTAGAGGAATTAGAGGCTGTTCCCTGTTGAAGATGGGACGCCGGGACAGTCTGGATGCGCACCTATTTGCAAAGATAGCATCTGGTTAGCAGGTTACAAACAGGCTCATCAGTTGAATACAAACAGCAAAGGAAAGAGAGAAACCTGGTATGACCAATAGTTTGCCCTGGACCTTACCTGTGTGGCCTGACCCTGTTGCTGGAGCTGCTGCAGCTGCTGGGCAGTGAGGAAACTCACAGGCTTATTGCCAGCAATGAGCTTGGTGCCCGCTGGCATGGTGGTGAGGATGATGTTGCGGCCCAGCCCACTGAGGCTGTGGATAGAAAGGACAGGGTATTAGCTCCTGCCTAGAGTTGGGCCATGCACTGAAGGAAACCAGGGAGGTCTGGTGCGCAGTAAAAATTTCAGCATTCTGGACTGAAATGGAAACCAGCTGATGAAACTACCTTTCTTCCAGCTCTTATGCTTCCTATGAGAAACGAGCAAGCCCAAAGGCTCTCGGTGCTTAGGATAAAATGACCCTGATATCCACACTTTGATCAGCAGGAGTAAAAACAGCTGCCTTGAGACCATCAGAATGATTTCATCATGCCCTTCCATCCCCAGTTAAGTCTGGGCCACAGGAAGCCCAGGCTCCCAATAAGCCCTCCTCCTCTGACCTATCACACCACAGAGCCCAATGTTCGAGTGAGGCCTTCCTAGCAGCTGCAGTAGAAATTGGCATCTGAGCCATGTCAGTGCCGACCCCGTCATGCCTAGGGACTTCCTGTCCCCTTCTTTGCTTTTTCTCCATAGTGTCTTACCACCCATATAGTGTTTTACTTTATTATTTCTCTCCCCACTTGAAGACAGAATGGATTTTTGTCTATTTTAATCACTACTGTATCCCTAACACCTAAAACAATACTAGGTGCTCAATAAATCTCGTTGAGCACAATGAAGGAGAGCTGTCCAAGAGCCCCAAGAAAGCCAGCTGCCTTCCCACTGGGCAACGAGGAGCCACACAGAAGCCCTGCCCACCCCTCACTATAGCACTTACTTGGCTCCAAGGTTGCCTTTGATGATTGGGGCTGTGACCACACTCTTGCCCTTCATAGGCTGGCTAATCACAGAGAGTGGAACTGTGATCCGCGTAGGCAGCTTCCCCTAGAGAGAAAAGGAACCAAGTTTATGGGACAGGAGAGAAGAAAACCCAGTTTCACCTCCAAGGCTACAGAGTGAGGAGCTCAGAGGCTTTCACTCCCTGTACTCTGCCAGGTTCCAACATTCCTGAGGTGGGGCCCAGGGAGACCCCATGAAACCACTGCTCATCTGCTGTAGTTAAGGGCTCCCATGCTGTACTTAGGGGTCACCTGATCTGTTACCATTCTCTTTCATGCTGCCTACAGCAGTAATAACCATATATAACTGCTCTCATCAGGATTAAACACGTACCTAAATCACAAAGGAAGATGTGTGTTCACTTCAGCACAGTGAGAGTCTGAGCTCCTTAAAAGGTAGGGTATTACTCATCTGCCTATCCCCTGACACTTGGCACTAAACCAGTGTCTGAAGTAGTGGGGGGAGGATAGAGGCACTCAGGAGTTAATACAGTGAATGCATAACTCCGGCTTCGCTGCAATAAGGCAGGGCACGCTACAGTGGAACCGGCCACATTCTCTAGGTGCTTTCAGCCTCTCCCAGAGATACAAGAGGTTACCTAGGGGACACTAATAAAAAAAAGCAACCAAGTGAAAAGTCCAACCCTAAAGCTAATAAAGCCTAAGAGGAACAAAAATGTTGAGAAGGCCTAGTCTTTGAGATTTCAGGATGGCTAAGATTTGGTAATTGTATTACTTGTTTTTAAGTTGCCTGGCTTTTTAAACCTTGGTGGACAATAAAATTTATATACAATAAAATCCTGTGTAAATCTGATTTTAAAAAATGATTCAAGAGGTGTAGTTTGATAGGCTGCTAAGAAAGGGCATCGACACCTCCTATGGGTGAGCTAGTTCTAAGAAGCCAGGTACTCAGGTGCAAAGCTGCGTCCCAGCTATAGCCGGTTAGCACTGAACGATGTCAAAGGCTACAGAAAGGTGCTCCGGTTGGGCTTACTTGCGGTTTTATTTTCTTAATGCCTTAGTTACTTAAAGACATTTCAGGCCATCAGTATACCAACTGAATTGTCCCTCATGAACTAGCCTCCTACACAGAGAAAGGAAAACGCAACAATTCCACCCCACTAAATGCGTTCTGGTCATACAGGGTGGGGCAGAGAGTATGTGAAACAGTTTATTCTTGTATTATTTATTAATCCTTATATTATTTTCCATAAAAACTGTAATCCTACTTTCGCCCCATCCTGGCACTTATCCAGACTAGTAACAGACAGGTGTCAATGGATAGCAGTTTTCTCTGTTATGAGAAGGATTCAAGGGAAACAAGAGTGGACTGAGTAAGCGTTTGCTTTCCTTCTTATTCTAACTTTGGCGAGATGAGAACCTAATATTTCCTTCTTAGCCCCACCACGTATCAGGGTTTATTGGCTGGTTGGTTTTACTAATGTATATGTCCTCCTTCCTCCATCACTCTGGCTTTTACCCAAATCACTGAGGTTTTACTATGCAGCTTGTTTAGAAAAGTGAAACTATGTTTTACTGTCCACATAAAATACAGAACAGTGCCCCTTATCTAGAAGCTAAATGGACACAAATGCATCCAGAAACACACCTACATTGACATGAGAATTTGGTTTATGATAAATGTAGTATTTCATGTTAGTGGGGAAGGGATAAATTAGTCAATGATGTTGGAATAATTTGAAAAACATAAAATGAGATCTCTACCACATGCTATTCACAAAAGTATATTTCAAATGGATTATCAGTTATACTTATCTTAAAACTCTGGAAATATTTTATGAAACTACAAGCTAATATCTTTACAACCCTGGGGCAAGAAAGGCAAAAGATATAAAACCAAGGAACCATAAAAGAAATGTTGACTGATAGATCTAATCAGACAAAATACCTGTAGAGCAAAAGGCCCCAACCATATGCAAGGTTAAAAAATGACAGAGGGGGGCAAAATACTTTCCACACAGAATTAACACCCAGAAGATAGAAAGGGTCACCTCAAACTATGAAAAAACCAAAAACCACACAGAAAACTGGGAAAGATTTATCCACTACTAAAGCACAGGCCAGTCTGCACAGGACTGGCTGCTCAACCTCAACACAGATTAGGGAAACTGACTCTTGCCAGTAAGAGAGCCACATAAAGTTAAAACAACATGTGCTACCCAGTGCTGGTTAGGCTAGGTTTGCTGGCTGGACTGCAGGCTGGTATGGCCTTTTTGGTGGTACAACCGGAGTATTAGAACTTTCAATATGTATACCTCTGTGGCCCGATCTAGGCACCTTGGCTCCAGAAATATTTCTAAGTGTTCACATATGCACATGCGAGCATTTGCTGTAGCCCTGGTTTACAATGAAAAAGTGCCCTTTAGTAGAAGAATGGTTAAAGCACACCCCTTCTATGGGCTGCCACAGTATCATCAAAAAGATCGCAGTCAACATCTGCAAAGGATCTCGAATGATCCCCAAGATGTATTTTTAAATAAAACAAATCATAGAACAATATACAGACTAAGGTCTCTCACAGGAATATTTTACACTGTGCCAATGTACAGTAATGGTCTGGAAAAGGACCCGGGAATCAAGGCCAAACCACCAGCAGATATCAGCCTTCATGAAGGCAGTTAGAGGGCGGTGAAGGAAATTTTATATTTCACTCCCTGTACTTCTGTCCTGTTTTAATATTTTTTAAGAATGTATGCATGTACTACTCTCATAAGTTTGTTTCAAAATTAAACAAAGTCTATAACAAATAAGCCTGTTCAAGTCAAAAGAGGTGACTTGGACATTTCCGTCCCTAGGAAGAGGCGTTTCCTAAGTGGAAGGGCTCCTTATCCTTCACAATGGTACTCACTGCCTGGGACGTGGACACCACCGTGGTGCTGACAGGGACCTGCCGCACCGTGGGCGCGCCTGTGCCAATGCTGATGGGGGTGCTTGCAGCCCCAGAAGCCACGGCCACAGTCTTGGACACAGCGGCATTCATGCTGGGCAAGGACACTGCTGAAGTGTGAACAGTTCCAGAGCTGCTGGCCACCGAGGACCCTTGCTTGGCATGGGCTGCGACTGTGATGGTCTGGCCTGCTTTGGGAGGCATCACTCCCAGGCCCTGCACAATGCGGATGGTGGCAGCTGGCTTTGCTTCTGAAGAGGCCACTGTGCTCTTCCCCTTCTGGTCTGCCATGCTTACGCCAAGTGCCGGCATCAAGCGAAAAGCTGAGCTTGAGGCCTCTGCTGGCTTGAGGTCCGGAGTCACTTTGACCACGGTGGTACCTGCTGGAGCGGATGAAGGGGCACTGGCTGCGCTGGCCTTCGCAGGGCTGTCGGCAGCATGGACTGGGTTGGAAGTGACATGTAAGGTAGCCGAGATGCCTTTGCCAGCAGTGCCACTTCCTGTCCCGAAGAGGTCCTGGGTCAGTTTGACTGTGGTAACCTGGGACTTGGCCAACGTGGCCATCATGTCCGGAGTGATCCGCAGAACAGTCTGGCCTTTGGCATCTGTGGTGATGGAAGAGGGTGGCAGACGCAACACATCCTTACCCTGGATACGGAAGTTAGTGGCTGTGAGTGGAATGCTGTTGCCGGTCTGGGGCTTCACACCAAGCTGCCCAGTGATGGCGACCTGGGTGGAGGAGAAACAGCACTGACCAAGGATCCACACTGCCGCATGGGTTACACAGTACAATTAAGCAAACCTTCATTTCATGGGCGGTGTGTTTCATGTCTTTTTCCAACTTTTTATTTTTAAAAATGAAAAAACATTTTCAAAAGAATAACATAACAAATCCATGTACCTATCACCCACTTCAAAGGCTATATCACTTTGTCAATCTTGTTTTATCTACCCTTCCCTATTTCAGGGGGGGAGGGGGGAGGATATTTTTAAGTAAATTAATACATAGCATTTTGCTGATCAATACTTCTGCACGTATCTCTAACCTAGAGAAACCACCTATTATTACCTAATAATATATATTCGCATTTCTCCGTCTTACAACACCTATTTAGAGTTGTGCCAACCTTCACTGAGAGTAGCAGCGTGGCCACATTCCCATGTGTAACAGAAGCAGCCCTTCTGTCTCAGAGACTGTCTCTCACATGAGTGACTTTTCCCTCTGCTGACCAATGCCCCCAGAATGCAAACATGCTGCAGCATTTCCCGTCCCAGAACATAACAAGTCCTCGCTCCACTCCGCATCTCCACTCCAGTTCCAGTTCTCTGCTCTCTTCAAAAGCAAAATTACTCTGAAAATTATCTATCGTCATATCTCCTTTTCCTTGCCTTACGTTCTCTTTTGAACACATTCCCAAAAAGCTACTAAGGCACTGGGCCCAGTCGAGTCACTCACTACCTATATCCAGGCAGTGGTCTGCTCTCAGGCCTCACACCTCACACCTCCACCCACCTGATGCTCATGCTGGCTTCCTGAGCACCTCTCTCTCTCTCGGTCTGCCTTAGTCTCTTCACCTCAGTGTTTCCCATCTCAGATGATGTCACTATCTACCCGGTCACTCTAGCCAAAAGCCACCGGGTCAGTCCTGACTCCCTTTTCTCAGACCCCATAACCAAACCACCAGAAAATTCACACTGACTCTACCTTCAACCCCACACTCGGTATTCCAGCACTTCTCACCCTGCGAGGACTATTCACAGGAAGCCAGCGTTACCTCTCACCAGGACCACTGCACCTGCCTCCAACCTGGTCTCCCTGCCTCCACTCTTGCCCTAAAGCCCACTCTACACAGCAGCCAGGGCTTTTTAAAATGTAAACTAGATCCAGTCATTCTGAGTCACAATCTTTCAATGGTTCCCCATCACATTTGAATTAAAACCAAAATCAGACATGACAGAACCACTGGCAACCTCCCAAGAAACCACTTTCCAACACTTCTGCACTTGCTCACTAGGCCTCAGCCACAACGGGTTTCCTGTTGGTCCTCAAACATATTCCTGCCTCAAGGCATTTTCACTTGCTCTTCCCATACCTGGAATGCTGTATCTCCAGCTACATGTAATATGGCACACTTTCCAACCCAGTCATCTCTCAAATGTCAGTTCCTCACAGGCCCTCTCTGATCACCCCAGCTAAACCAGCACACTGTGCTCCCCTCCCCTGCTTACTGTGTTCACAGCCCCCACTACACCTGCCCCGGGAGCACCTGAGGGAGGGACGCAGTCTGTGCAGTATAGCACTAAACCCCCAACACTCTGGAGAGTGCCTGGCACACAAAAAGTACTAATATTTAATGAAAAAATGTTCCTTTATTGTTATATGGTTGCACTCACCTGTAAAATGGGGGTAACAAAGTGCCTACCCCATGATGTTTTATTAACATAATGTTTATAAAATGTCTGGCACAGTGCAGGCCCTAGCCGCCATTCTGCCTAACGAAGTTCAATGGTGAGCCTTGCATATTCACAACCAGAAAAGCACAAATATATGCTTTTACTCTAGTGGTAAGCTGAAACACCAATACAGCATATAAAGTTATACCACAGGATTTTAACTAAATAAATTCATAGATAATCTCCCCCAAATTAAAAAACTCAGCTACTAAATGCTGAATTAGATGGAAAGGAGCAGAAGGAATCTTTGGCATCTACAGAGCTTGCAATGCCCTTGGTGGGAACTCGAACTTGAAATACCTGAGAACTAAGGATCAAGGTCAGGAATCACTGAGCTCTCCACAGTCCCCTGCTTCGGGACAAAGGAGTCAGATCACCTACCTGCTTGATAATGTTCTGCCCGCTAACATTCTGAATCACAGCAGCTGTGGAAGCACTCGGAGCAGAACTCCCGGGGGAACTTGTGGCTGGCTTGCTCGCAGGGCTGGCTGTGGCAGGGAGGCTTGTCACTGTGAGTCCTGTCTGCCCAGCACCTGGCCGCTGCACAGTGGCCGCAGCAGTCTGAGCTTTGACTGGGACGGTGGCCATTACTGTCTAGTTGAGAGCATGAGGCCAAGAGCTTAATTAGACACTAAGATGTAGACCTGCATACCACCACCCAAGAAGTGTGCCTCTGGAAGTGCTGCTAATACAACAGTGCTTAACACTCACCACTCTCTAAATGGACAACAAAGTTCTTGTACTTGTGTAGCACATCTTTCATTTTCAGAATGTTTCCAATTTATCATCACTCCTATACACTGAGGACAAATATTATACCCCTTTTATAGCAAAGGAGACTGAGGCAGAAAATAAGACTTTTCCCTAAAATCACACAATAGCTAGTGGCATGGCTAAGATTAGAGGCACAATAGAAAGAGCCTGAGATTTAGAATCACAGGGATGGATTTAATCCCACCTCTATGAGTGACCTAATGTTACCATCCTGGGTAAATCACCACACTTCTCAGAAATTCTGATCCTCAAAATATAAAGTACAACTGACAAAGTACAGCTCATAAGAGCACTCACCCAGCTGTGGACATTACATGAGTTGTTGTAATACACATCAGCAGCAGCAACAATCTAAGGCTCCTCTGTGCCTACACTAAACTCACTAGCCCACCTCTGGGTCCGTAGTCCCTGCTTACCTGGGGCATGACTTTGGTCTGTGCAGCAGTGGCTGGAACGCGGATCTGTGGCCCTGCTGGTATCGGCGGCAGTGTCTGTGCTGGCCCCGATGACTGCTGGGTAACAGCAGGAAGGCCAGGCTGGGCCACCACCCGCACCTGGGGGAGTCCCGCCGAGCCGGAGTGGCTCACAACACGGGCAGCAGCCTGAGAAGTTGGAGGAGTCTGACTGGAGGCTGGGGAAAGCATTGTTCCTAGCTGTGGCATTGTTGGCGAAGAGACCAGGAGAACGCTAGGAGGAAAATTGGGGGAAAAAGAAAACAGCCAACTCGGGACATGCATAAGAGGGG